ACACATACCCAAGGTTGTACATATATATGGGGTGGTCGGCTGACCGACTGCTAGTACTAAGGTTGCACAATGACTAGTCCTATATTAGGGACTTAACATAGTAAGGTCTGACGAACCAAAGCATTAATATAGAAGGTCTCTATGATGCATAAGCATTATGATAGCAGAGTTATGACTTGAAGTCCCATATGAATAAGACATACAGTAGTATGGTCTATGAAATAAAGCAAATATGTGGAAGGTCTCAAATATGTAAAAGCATTATATTGAAAGAAATGGGACTTGAAAAGGATTATTATAGTGGCGTGTAGGTTGCTTCGCAGCCTCTGAGACCGAGGTAAACTTGGACTCACTAACCGATGTGTCCTAGACATATCATCTTAGTGCCGGTGGTAAGCGGGTTTGTTGTAGCAATACGACTTGCCCGTGGACATCGCACACCCCTACCGGTTGTGGGCGGCGTCTTAGCGCATAGCGTTATGATACGTCGGCTATCTTTCGGATTAGGGTGAGTGTGTTTGGTAGTACTTTTAAGTGCAGCAAGCATACTCAACTTCATGTCTTAGTGCAATAGCGCTATGATACGTGGAGTTTTGGCTACTGACGTCTTAGTACCGTACTACTATGATACGTCGGTGGTATTTTTAGTTAACAACATTATCAAATTTTGTTACCAAAGTCGATAGGGATCATGTGGGTGTGTTGTGAGGGGGCGCCATCCGTATGATAGTTGCATTGATGCTTACTGCTACTTGTAGTATTGCGTCTTGTGATGGATCTGCGGGTGTACTGCACCTGATTCGATGCATCTTGTGGTTCTGGTCGATGGAGGTATGCGGGTGGTGATGTCTGCTGGGACTGTATGGGGGACCTTGGGATGGTGTAAGCCCGACGATAGTCGTATTGATGCTTGTTGCATTCTGTAGCATTGCGTCTCTACGATGGTTGTTTGGCGGGTCGCTATTCTCAATGGCGCTCTCTGCGTCTTGGTTTGACTCACAACCTAAGTAGCTTTGCCCAAGTCGGGTCCCTTCATTGCGGGGCTGCAGACTGTCTGCCCTCCATGATGTTTTATATAACAACTTAATAATATATCTCTATAAAGTTCCCACCTTTGAGAGATTGAAGGCAACTTGTTGGTGGGTGAGACAAACATGATCGAAAAATGCATATACTCAACGTCAGTGACACAAACCCTTTCTGATGGCGAATTATTAATATTATCTTATAACTGCCTATTGGCTATATCTGCCATTGTATTGGTTGGTGGAGCATATGTGTTGACCTCATGCGGGTGGTAGCTGGAGGGAGAATCTGAGGAGGCTCTCAAGGCTGCGGCCGAAAGCCGCGCAACGTGGGACCCCATTCCCTTGAGGTGAGCGGTAGACTCATGACACGCTCTGCGGCCAATTGGCCGTGCTGACCATGCAATTGGTGGTGATGCCTTACACTTACATCACGTCTGCAGGAACGGCGGTCTGGCAGGTGGTGGCGTTCACGGAAGGCTTTTTATGGTCAGTGTGCCTATTGTTGCCTAACCCGTGTGACGTACATTTCACTGTGGCTGGATTTGATCGTATTCTGTATGGCGTTTACACGCATTGACATGCGCGACTTCGGTCGATGTTTGTGCTTACGCACTATCAAGGGGCCAAGTCCTCTTTTACTGGTTCGCCAGTTATTTTGCTGTGGACTACGGTCCAGTTCCCAACTTTGCGTACCCTTCGGGGGGCGCGCATTAAAATGGTTGGCGCTCACCGTGCGCGGCGTGTGTGGGGCCGTGTACCTCCTCCACATTTTTTTTAAAATGTGGGAGAGCGAAGCCCTTGTAACTGGTATTTGATATAAATATTGTGAGCCTTTTCCAAGCGGGAAGGGATTAATTAATAAGGAATTGACTGTTGTGAACCAGATACAAGTGGAATAGGGACAATTTATTGTTCTTAACCTTTTTGAGCTCTGTCTTCGTGAACGGGGTTCTTTAGCTTATAAGACTCTACCAACAGCTTTCGATTGCTCTCGTGAATATTCATTCTTCCAAGATACACCTAAAAGAACTAAGTTACTATACAAACACAACGTAAAAAGGGGTCCCAACTAAGACGATCACGCCATAAATTTATTAAACGGCCTATATTTAAACCTTTAGAAAGATCAAGTTATACTGGTCACGTAAATTAGATATATTTATATATCTTACACATATAGATTCTAAAGAAATACAAGTATAAGTGGATATATAGTAAAAAAGAAAAAAGATGGGGGGGGGGGTTCGTTACAATTTGGTGCCGTGACCAGGATAGAGGTTAAATTTTAAATAGGAGGCCGGTAATATAAAATTATGAGGTAGGCTATATGCCTACAATTTGTTGTCCGTGAAATGGAGCGGTGTCTTGGAAAGTGGTATTTGCTGGGGGTGGTTGAGAGTCTGGGGGTGGGGCTTAAATATTAAAATGGAGTAATAATATAGGAGGTGTGTGCATAACGGAGCGAAATAATAAAAAGTGAAATAAGTGGAAAAACTCAATTAAAGTAAGTGAAGGACGCAAAAAGTGTAAAAAAAAAAAAGTGGAAATAAAAATTAAAATGGCTAAAAATAAGAAAAAATCAACCTCAATTAAGGCTAAGCCTAAAGATGAGATGAAAATGCTTCAGAAATTAATTAAGAATGCAGTGAAAACCTTTGAGGTTAAAATAAAGGATCTTGAGGAAAAATTTATTAACCAAACTAAAGATTACCAAATTAAAATAAATCAAGGAGAGGTGTCCGGAGCGAGCACCTCTCATGTAAATGATCCTAGACAAAATATTGTATATAATGTACATAATGTAACAATAGAAAAGCCGAAATTTGGAAATGGAAATACTCATCCAGTATCATTTTTGGAAGATCTCACCAATTATTTAAAGAAAGTTCCATCTAGTGGTCTCGAAATTTCGATTGCACAAGAGTGCTTAGTAGGTGAAGCCAAGTATTGGGCTCGCATTAATAATGTGCGTTGGACAACTTTTGATGATTTTAAAGCTGACTTCCTAAGAGTGTTTTGGGGTGAAGAAGAACAAAATAAAGTAAAGAGATTCCTTGTGCAAAATAAATGGAATAGAAGTACACACCCCACCATGGTTAGTTATTTTCTTTATGTTGTTGAGAAGGCACAAACATTATCATATCCGATACCTGAAAAACAATTAGTAACTGATGTCATCAGACATTATCCTAAAACTGTGCAGCAATTATGGAGAATAGCTAAAATTGAGACAATAATAGACACGACAGATTTCTTAAGAAACTTAGATGACATCGACAAACAAGATGAAGGTCGTGAACCTTACTATAATGAGAAAAGGAGGAAGTTTAATAATAATACGGAGCAAAAACATAAAGAGATACAACAATCATACAAAACATGGCGTAAACCCGAAGAGGGAAAAAAGAAGGTTAATGAAGTACATGAAATACATTTCACTAATGACCAACCTGATGTTACGGCTCCTGAGCCAAATTTAGAGCTGGAGAGGTCGAACTAGTTCCCGATTCGACCCCTTACAATGTAAAAGGGAACAAAGCATTAAATATGTTATTAAAACTGGGTTGGCGACCTGGTCAAACATTGGGTAAAAACAATAGAGGGTTGCGAAAACCTATTACTTTAAAAGCAAATTTTAACAGAGAAGGCCTTGGTTATAACGACAATGTAAATAGCATATTAAACACCTTAAAAGCCAGGTCGGACTTGCCCATAACGGAGTTATTCGTGCAAACCGTCTTCGAGGAAGACGAAGATAAATATCAAAGGGAATTTATAGGGAATATGAGATCTGTAATTAAAGTTTCAATATTTGACAAAGAAATAGACGCGCTCCTCGACACTGGGAGCGATGTTACATGCATTTCAGAAAGTTTATATTTACAAATTAAAGATAATAATCGTAAAATATCAATAATGCCAGTTAAAGCAATGCAAATAAAAGGTGCTGTTGGGCAGCGCAGCACAAAAATACAACAGATGATCATATTGCCTATAAAGATAGATGAAGTAGTCTTTGAAACACAAACTTTAATTGTAGGTAATTTAATAAGACCTTTAATATTAGGCTTTGACTGGCTCAAGAGAAATAAAATATTGATTGATTTGAGAAATACTACTGTTGGAATAGAATTTAAAGTGAAAAACAAAGACTACTTTATACCTTTCAAATATAATAATAAATCTGTATTACATTATAACTGCATCAAACAATGTACCGATGATCCCTTAATAAATATAAAAATAGGATCTACATTGGAGGTCTCTGAAAGGGCAAAACTTAGTAAGGTTTTGGAAAAGCATAAGAATATGTTTTCGAGCAAATTGGGAAGAGCCAATTGCTATGAGCATAAAATTGAAATGATCGATGATGAACCTATAGTTACTAGGTCCTATCCCATTCCATATGCATATAGAGCGAAAATGGAAGAAAAGTTAAATGAAATGGAACAAGCTGGTATCATCACAAGGGCATCAACGCCTTACAGTAGTCCATTGACATTCACTCTTAAAAAAGACGGCTCAATTAGAGTTCTGCTTGATGCCAGAAGCATAAATAAGAAAATGGTTGCAGAAACAGAGAAACCACCTATACAATTAGATGTTTTGAATTCATTTCACGGAGCGAATTATATCACTACCATTGACTTAAATAATGCATATTTTCAAATTCCGATAAATAAAGATGGTAGAAAATATACTGGATTCACATTCAATGGAAAGTCATATGTATATAATGTTTTGCCGCAAGGATTAAAAACATCAGTAGGAAGCTTTAGCAGAGCCATGAATTTAATATTAGGACCAGAAGTCCAAGAATTTTGTGTGAACTATTTAGATGATCTAGCCATTATTACAACAGGAACGTTAGATAAACGTTAGGAGCACATTGATATTGTTTTAAGTAAATTGAACAAAGCTGGCTTAACGTGTAACTTGCAGAAATGAGAATTTATTTGTAAAGAAATTAAAATGCTGGGTTTTATAATTTCAACAGAAGGCATAAAGACAGATCCCGATAGGATTCGAGCGATCCAAGAGTTTCCAGCACCTAAAAAGATTAAACAATTAAGGGCCTTTTTAGGTCTATGCAATTTTTATAGAAGGTTTATACCAAATTACAGCGAGAGCATAATACCGCTCTGTGAATTACTTAAAAAGGGACGAAAGTTCCAATGGAGCGGTAAAGAACAGAAGGCATTTGATTTTATAAAACAACAATTTATTAATACAATACAATTGCATCATCCAGACCTTAATAAGCCGTATTATTTACAAACAGATTGTTCCGGTGTGGGTATGGCCGGAGTACTATATCAGATAGATGATAATAATGAAATGAGAATTTTAGGCTATTATAGTAAAGCCTTAACAGACCCCGAATTAAATTGGTCTGTTACTGAACAAGAGTTTTATGCTGTAATAAGCTGCCTAAAGAAATTTGAAACATATTTGAGGGGCAGTAAAGTAATAATACTAACTGATCATAAAGCATTATTGTTTATTAATAATATGAAGTTATTCAATGGTAGAGTAACCCGATGGATTTTGTATATAGAACAATTTAATTATGAAGTACAGCATATATCGGGTGGACGTAATATTGTTGCAGATGTGCTATCACGTTATCCTCCTGATGGCGATTTAATACAAGAGGATAAAAATAATAGTTTAGAAATTGCTTACACAGAGAGCGAACCGAATATTGAGTTGATAGAAAAATTAAAATCCTTATCAGTATATCAATTACAAGATTCAGAGTCGTTGGCTATTATTGAAAAGTTAAAGACATTAAATACTTCCATAATAAAACAAAACAATAAATTTAAAAGGTATAGTTTGAAAAATGATGTATTATATTACAAAACGAATTTACAAGAAGTAATATATTTACCTAAAGCATTGAGACAAGATATTATAAATCAAGTGCATGTCGAAATGGGTCATCAAGGACCCTATAAGGTAATTAAATATGTGAGAGACAGATTCTTTTGGAAAGGTTTAACAAAAGATATTAAAAACCAATTAAGGGCTTGTCATTTATGTCAGTTATCTAAGAAAAGCAATATAACATATGTGGGTCCCTGCAAATCTATAATAACAGAAAACATTGGCGATATAGTCATGGCAGACTTATATGGACCATTTGTATCAGGTACCTTTGGGTACACTTTCATATTTGTCATTCAAGATTCATTCAGTAAATTTATCAAATTATATCCTTTAAAACAGTCAACAGCAAAGTCTGTTGTAACAAAAGTAAAGCATTTTGTTGAGATTATAAAGCCCAAGGCAATAATGACAGATAATGGAAAACAGTTCGTAAGTAATCACTGGAAACAATCAATGAGTGAATTAAATATAAAGCCAATATATACCACAGTTAGAAATCCTAGACCAAATACAACAGAGCGAGTAAATAAAGAGTTGAGCAGATTATTTAGGACGCTTTGTCATACTAACCACAAAGATTGGGCGTTAATATTGCCGAAATTAGAAGAATTGTATAATAATTCTTACCACAATAGTACAGGCTTCACGCCTTGTGAGATTCTTTATTGTGAGTCTAATGAGATGTCTTTTGACAAAGTAATTTCCAAAAGTAAAGACAAACATAATGTCGAACAAATTAGACAACAAGTGCGTAAAAATTTAAAAGAGGCAAGTAGAATAAGAAACACAAAATTTGATAAGCGAAATAGATTAATAAAATATAATATTGGTGACTTAGTAAAAATTTCAAGATCTAGTAGATCAGACGCTGATAATAAAGTTATGAGTAAGTTCAATTTGGCATATGAAGGACCTTATGTAATAGCAGCCGTACCATTTGACAATGTATATACCTTAGCAAATCCAGAGACAAACGAAATTAGAGGAATTTTCAATGCTATTCACTTATTAAAATATTTTAAATAATAATTTCTTTTTGTATAAATTAGATAATTACTCTAACATAAATATTGTAACATAAAAGGGTTTTGTGGGTGGCCCACGGAAATAATTGTTTAAGTTAAAGGTCTAAAATTATTAAAGTTATGAGCAAGAGATTTGTTATATGATAGTAGAACGTTATTAATATATAATGAAGAGTTGTAAATATAGATCGTAAGATAATTTTGTAATCATTTTTATTAAATAAATATGGGAGTTGGGTCAGGGCGAATGGCTCAAACACATTTATCCTATGTGGTATCGTACTGACCTCAACAAATATCAAACTGGATTGTATGCACATAAAGTGTGACACTATCGAAATTATGTTTCAAAGATTTAAAGATAAATTAATAAAATAAAATAAGAAATCGACAATTGACTGCAAACTTTATTAACAACACGATATACAATAACTTGAATTATGGTGTTATCACATTGTGATAATTGTGGTTGAAGGGGTGTTGGTGGCGGCCATTCTCTGGGGCAGGGGGATTTGATAACATATGCCGTATTGTAACAGATTAAAAGAGGAAAGAACAGATATATAAACAATTATTTGAGTGTAGTGTATATGCTCTCAAAATACTAAAATTTTATATTAACGACTCCACTATGTGGATCATTAACATAAAATTTGGGGGTGGATTGTGACGCCTCGTAATTATTATTAATAAATAATAATTAAATTCATTATACAGACATTTAAAAATGTCATAGAAATTATAATTTAAACAATCAAATGCAAATAATAAGCATAAAGTTCAAAAATATCCATTTGGAATATTGAATATTATATATATTAGTAAACGCATAAAATGTCTCAAAAAATCTCTAAATTTATTAAAAACCTGCTTAAAATGTTCAAAATATATCAAATCATATAAATACAAGTCGATTATATTGCAATAACAAAGATAAATAACATTTGTAATATAATAGAAAAAATGGATAAAAATTTTCTAAGTTGATGAAGGTGTTCGTGTAATAATTGGAAAATTTCTAAGTTAATGAACGTGTTCTTGTAATGTTCCCTTATATTGGGGCGTTGTCGGAGACACATACCCAAGGTTGTACATATATATGGGGTGGTCGGCTGACCGACTGCTAGTACTAAGGTTGCACAATGACTAGTCCTATATTAGGGACTTAACATAGTAAGGTCTGACGAACCAAAGCATTAATATAGAAGGTCTCTATGATGCATAAGCATTATGATAGCAGAGTTATGACTTGAAGTCCCATATGAATAAGACATACAGTAGTATGGTCTATGAAATAAAGCAAATATGTGGAAGGTCTCAAATATGTAAAAGCATTATATTGAAAGAAATGGGACTTGAAAAGGATTATTATAGTGGCGTGTAGGTTGCTTCGCAGCCTCTGAGACCGAGGTAAACTTGGACTCACTAACCGATGTGTCCTAGACATATCATCTTAGTGCCGGTGGTAAGCGGGTTTGTTGTAGCAATACGACTTGCCCGTGGACATCGCACACCCCTACCGGTTGTGGGCGGCGTCTTAGCGCATAGCGTTATGATACGTCGGCTATCTTTCGGATTAGGGTGAGTGTGTTTGGTAGTACTTTTAAGTGCAGCAAGCATACTCAACTTCATGTCTTAGTGCAATAGCGCTATGATACGTGGAGTTTTGGCTACTGACGTCTTAGTACCGTACTACTATGATACGTCGGTGGTATTTTTAGTTAACAACATTATCAAATTTTGTTACCAAAGTCGATAGGGATCATGTGGGTGTGTTGTGAGGGGGCGCCATCCGTATGATAGTTGCATTGATGCTTACTGCTACTTGTAGTATTGCGTCTTGTGATGGATCTGCGGGTGTACTGCACCTGATTCGATGCATCTTGTGGTTCTGGTCGATGGAGGTATGCGGGTGGTGATGTCTGCTGGGACTGTATGGGGGACCTTGGGATGGTGTAAGCCCGACGATAGTCGTATTGATGCTTGTTGCATTCTGTAGCATTGCGTCTCTACGATGGTTGTTTGGCGGGTCGCTATTCTCAATGGCGCTCTCTGCGTCTTGGTTTGACTCACAACCTAAGTAGCTTTGCCCAAGTCGGGTCCCTTCATTGCGGGGCTGCAGACTGTCTGCCCTCCATGATGTTTTATATAACAACTTAATAATATATCTCTATAAAGTTCCCACCTTTGAGAGATTGAAGGCAACTTGTTGGTGGGTGAGACAAACATGATCGAAAAATGCATATACTCAACGTCAGTGACACAAACCCTTTCTGATGGCGAATTATTAATATTATCTTATAACTGCCTATTGGCTATATCTGCCATTGTATTGGTTGGTGGAGCATATGTGTTGACCTCATGCGGGTGGTAGCTGGAGGGAGAATCTGAGGAGGCTCTCAAGGCTGCGGCCGAAAGCCGCGCAACGTGGGACCCCATTCCCTTGAGGTGAGCGGTAGACTCATGACACGCTCTGCGGCCAATTGGCCGTGCTGACCATGCAATTGGTGGTGATGCCTTACACTTACATCACGTCTGCAGGAACGGCGGTCTGGCAGGTGGTGGCGTTCACGGAAGGCTTTTTATGGTCAGTGTGCCTATTGTTGCCTAACCCGTGTGACGTACATTTCACTGTGGCTGGATTTGATCGTATTCTGTATGGCGTTTACACGCATTGACATGCGCGACTTCGGTCGATGTTTGTGCTTACGCACTATCAAGGGGCCAAGTCCTCTTTTACTGGTTCGCCAGTTATTTTGCTGTGGACTACGGTCCAGTTCCCAACTTTGCGTACCCTTCGGGGGGAGCGCAATAAAATGGTTGGCGCTCACCGTGCGCGGCGTGTGTGGGGCCGTGTACCTCCTCCACATTTTTTTTAAAATGTGGGAGAGCGAAGCCCTTGTAACTGGTATTTGATATAAATATTGTGAGCCTTTTCCAAGCGGGAAGGGATTAATTAATAAGGAATTGACTGTTGTGAACCAGATACAAGTGGAATAGGGACAATTTATTGTTCTTAACCTTTTTGAGCTCTGTCTTCGTGAACGGGGTTCTTTAGCTTATAAGACTCTACCAACAGCTTTCGATTGCTCTCGTGAATATTCATTCTTCCAAGATACACCTAAAAGAACTAAGTTACTATACAAACACAACGTAAAAAGGGGTCCCAACTAAGACGATCACGCCATAAATTTATTAAACGGCCTATATTTAAACCTTTAGAAAGATCAAGTTATACTGGTCACGTAAATTAGATATATTTATATATCTTACACATATAGATTCTAAAGAAATACAAGTATAAGTGGATATATAGTAAAAAAGAAAAAAGATGGGGGGGGGGGGGTTCGTTACAATTTCATCTAGTGATAGAGAAGGACCACAATCCAATGTAGCTGGCCTGCAAAGACCAAAAGATCTTAGAAATTTCCACACTACGGCTGGTGAAGAGTTATTAATACAATTATGGAAATATCGGCGTTTAGCTGCACGTACCATCTGATTACACCTATTCCTGGCTGCTTTAAAAGATAACCAATTTTCTTCAGTACGATCTCTCTTGAAACGAAGAAAAGCTCGATTTCGTCTAGTCATTGCCAACCTTACGTCCTCCGTCATCCATGGAGCAGGCGGACGCTTCAATCTGACCTTATGAACTGGAGCATGAGCATCATAGAGGCTGAGAACATTGTGGTTAAGAATCAAGACTTTATCGTCAACAGTAGGTGCTGCAATTAAAGAGGCTAGATCGAGATTAAGAGCGTCATTCTTTAGCTTATCAAAGTCTATTTTAGAAAAGCTGCGAAGATGCATTACAGTAGGTGAATATTTGGGTGGTTTAAGCTTATACGAAGCATAAATCAAGTCATGGCGTGAGATACCCAAAGCGGGTAACTGACCGTGCATCATCACACGTTCAGGAGAAGCAGCAAGGATTAAATCAATCAATGAGTCATCGGTTCCGATATTATGATGAGTAGCCTTTAAAGGGAGAATAGAAAGATTAACCGACTCAATAATTGAAAGAAGCTTTTTGGAACGAGGGCAGCTTTTCAACAGATCTGTATTAAAGTCACCCATGATTATACAGTGTGTATACTCAGAACAAATATCAGTGAGAGCCATATCTAAAGTGGCGAAGTAGTCAGTCGAAGGGGGGCAATACACTACCCCTAGAAGCATCCTGATGCCCTTGACATCGAGTTCCACAAATAAAAACTCAGAAGTAGCAGAATAGCAGGAAGGAGATGTTAGAACAACTTTGTGAGGAATTGATGCGTGTAGGTAGATGGCTACACCACCTCCACCTTTTCCAACACGATCATTTCTAACGAGTACAAAGCCAGGAAGGGGATATAAAGTTGACGGTAAAGTAGGCTTCAGCCAACTTTCCGACACTAATATGGCATGAATATACTCGGGGGAAAATGAAGCTTCAAGTTCGGAATAGTGGCTCGGGATACTTTGAGCGTTAATATGGCATATGTTCAGAGAGTTGTTAAAAGATGTACAAACTCCTTTGAGTAGTTCATGTAAATTAAGAACGCTATCATTGAAAGAATCATCACAAGAGTGAAAAGATAAATTAGAAGATTCATTTGCAGAGCTAAACAGTTCAACATCAGACATAGTTTATGGACTAAAATAAAAATAAATTAAATAAATATAAAAGAATTAAAATAAATACACAAAAAAAAACTTAGGAATGTACACTTAAGACTAATTTATAAACTAACACTTACTAAACATAAACATCACCAACCCATCAGTTCACTGTTTACAGAGTAAACTTAATAAAATAAATTTTATATGCAAACATAGGATCTATAATATCTAAAGTGGCAAAGATACTCTTATCTAATAATAATGTTAATATTTCTAAGTAGGTGTCACACAAAATAGTACAAGAGAATGTTTACCAAAAGAAAATCGATTGTCAAAGTAAAAAAAAAAAACGACATTGGCTGAATGATACACGTGTCCTTTGTCTATCAAAGGCTA